TTATTTTTTTTTATATGGGTCGTCCTTAAAAACGTCACACTTTTTTTTGGAGGATTTTAAAATCCACTCCTCCCCATCGTCACACCTCGTCACAAAAACCCAAGCCCCTCCTAAAATTACGTCACACCAAAGCATACCCCCCCCCCTCCTCTCTCAAAAGTGCTGTGTAATATTTTTTTTTAAACATCGATTTCTTTCAAAAATATTCAGTGACCTCGATCAACATAGAGTATTTTGATTAATTTCTATTACAATTTACGAAAACAGTTTTCTAAAATGCGATATATAAATACAAAAGTGTGACGTCACTCTATCTTAGCCCCTCCCCCCTGCACCATAACACACCATAACACAAAATTACAAATCCCCCTACCCCGTAGAAGAAGAATGTCCTTTAGACTTTCATTCTCGGCGTGGGGTGGGGGGGGGGGTGACACAAAGAAACAGTGCCTAGAAGTGTGACGTATTTTATGGATGACTCCAAAACTTTGTAGTCTATGAGTGGCTGCTGTTGATGTCAAGAATTTAATGAAAGTTATGGTCAAGCAAAGTGGTCGGAGTGGTCTAGCGGTAGAGATTGCTAACCCGTAAGTCTCGAGTTCCAAACCGGGTTCAAGTCAGTTGACCGTCCCTGAGTCCACTAAACTCTGATGGGTACCTAACTCACGTTAGGGAAAGTAAAGGCGGCTGGGCATGGTGCTGACCACACCATCTCTTCATATGCCGAGGTCACAGAAACAAGTGAACTCTACTTCACTTGCCCTAGAGACCGTCAGGTTTGAAAAGGGAACTTACTTACGGTCAAGCAAAAGATGAAAGAATATTCATTTATCTGAATAAAAAAACATTTGAACATCTCCTAATTTGATTGTTAGAAACCTGATGGTCTCTGTTACAATGAATCAACCTACAGTAGTTGATTGGCCAGTCGGGGGATTAAGTTTGAACGTGACCCTTAATCTGACCCCGGCATTGGCATGTTTTTATATTTTACGACACTTCTTTCTGTGCCTGAAAGCCTGATGTACGTATACACAGTTACCCTATACTGTACTATAAATACAGTACTTTAAAGGAAGAAAAATGCGCTAACTAACAATACGGTATTATAAATAAATACGGTACTCTAAATGTGTACTATAAATATGTAATAAATACAATAAGTATTTAGGCTATATAGTAATTGAAAATGTTGAATCCCACAAAGCATCGAATCTAATTAACACATGATAAGCAACGAATCTAACATGTCGGATATGGAATCTATCTACTAAATCGATACTACTGTACCGGCGTTAAATTAATCACTGCAAAGATTGCATACCTTAATAGCGAACTTGTTTTTTTTTTTAATATGAACAGTTTTGTTGATATAAACTCGGTTCAGGTTTATCTCTTTGTTAATATTAGATTACTTTGAAAAGCTAATATAAGCGTTAAGCAATAAAATATTATTAGTTATTCAGCAATATGTTTATTTTCAGCATCAAATGTTCTCTACAAAGAGTTATAACGGTACTGTAGAGAAGACAAGGAAGTGCCTGTATTCGAACGCCTCAAAAAACAGCATCAAACTAGCAATGTTATTTTATTCATGAAAGATGTCAGTTTGCTTTAAACACGTAGCCACATGCATGACTAGTAAATACAAACTAAGAAATATTTTTACCAATTTAGCTTTTATATTCATAGATACATTTGTATATGGAAAATGTAGGCGTATATCTTGCTCATTTAAATTTCAGATGAATTATATACGGATCAAGAAAATGTATTTTATTAATTCGCCTAAGGTAATTTCCATTTATAAATTTTAATTAACCAAGAAGGATAACCTATAAATTTGCTCTCAAAAATGGCTATATGTACAAAGAAATTCATAAATAGTTGCAAAAGATACGAAACATTGTTTACAGTGTAAACAAAAACAAAATTATTTTTAATTATTATGAAAATGATTGTTTAACTAATGTATTTTTAATTTTTGATTATTATCAGGCTCAAATTTTAATTGCAAACAGCTAGCTGAATTAAAGAATTGAATCGTAAAAATGATGAGAAAGTTCTGTTCAATCAATTTTATTTTTTCTCATGTTTGCGACACAACTCTGCGTGTAGCTCTGTTGTTTTACTTTACTTAAAAAGAAAATAATTGAAAGTAGTACATACTCTAGATTAGGGGTTCCCCACCTTTTGTGAGTGGCGATCCCCTTTTATAAAAAGTACGTGACCCGCGTGATCTCTCCATCGTATACTGTGGTTTAAATTACTTAAAAAGAAAATAATTGAAAATAGTAGATACTTTAAGTCCTAGGCTGTAGCGTGACCAGGTCGGGTGTACACCCACTCCGAAATAAATAAATAAATATATATATATATATATATATATATATATATATATATATATATATATATATGTATATTTATTTTCGGCCTATATTTTTGTAACGCTATACTTGTTTGAGAAAAATATTTTATGAAATAGTAATTGGTCAAAACAATTCATAAATAATTTTGAGAAATACAAAACATTGTTTACAGTGTAAATCAAAACTACAATATTTTAAAAATCTTATAAAAAGGATCGTTTAGTCTTTGTTTTGTAATTTTAAATTATTATCAGGCTCAAGATTTAATTACAAACAGCTAGGTAAATTAAAGAATTGACTTGTAGATATGATGAGAAAGTACAGTTTAATTAATGTCCGCTCGTTGTTAACGAATAACACAACACTCCGTGTACCTCTGTTGTTTTTTATAATCAAACATGACATCATGTAAATATTCATTATGTACATTTGCAAAACCTTTCGTTTTCATTTGGTGTTCAAAATTATGTTAAAAAATTTGATGTTGATGTACTTGTTTTAATTGCAAATAAAAGTATATTAAAAAAAAATTAGATCTAGCTGAAATGGTTGTACTCAGAACAATATTCTAATCACTTAACATGTTACAACGTATCTGCTTACTGCACGATTAACCGGGTCACTAAGACAAGCTATACCTCCAGGAGAGCTTGGATTGTACAGCTGTTGATGTAGAGTACAAAGTACAAAGGAAAGTACACATTCAAACACGATGGTGGCATGTGAAGTAGAGTTCACCTGTTTCAGTAACCCCGACAAGAGGGTAAAGCAGAGACGATTATTTTAAATTTACCAAACAGAGCGAGGTTGTGATCCACTTTCAGTTCGACTGTTTATCTTGTTCAAGGTAAAGACAAATATTTATTTTTTTAAAAGATTTTATTTCAATATTTTTTACGTATAACATGTTATTTATATACAATCGTGGAAAAAATGTATGCACAATAAATATTTGATAAATAAAAAAAGTACCTCTGTTGTTTTAATTTATTTATAAATGAATGTAATTGAAAATAGTACATACTCTTGGTCTAGGCCAGGGTTCAGCAACCTATTGAGGTGTAAGAGCCAAAAGTTTCAATTTACAAAATTTCCCAGTTTTTAAAGAGCCATTAATTATTGTTCTTCAATATTAAGGTATTTGATTAGGATTAGCTAAATAATATTTTTTTTATGGGTTCAAGTATGAAAAAATATGTATTCATATATAAACATACACATGTTTCGCACAAAACATAATATAGTATTTCACTAGTTCATTTAGGATAATTAAATCCAATTATAAAAATAACCCTACCCAGTTTAGAGGCTTGTCACAGACTGTATTATTATGTATCTTTATTATATTGTGTTTTGCATGAATGAAGAGTACCTGGCTAGCGGAAGGACTGTCTGAGCGATCGTCATGTGTTTTTCCGTGTTTTGGGTGAGATCGCTCATTGACGTAAGGGGAGAGAAAGTTGTGAATAAAAGGGAGAGCAAAAAGGTGAACGGGTGTTGTGTGCTAGGACTTGGGACTTGAACTGTGGCAGTGAATGTAAGATGTCTCCATGACTTGGAGTCGTGACTGTGACTGTACTTGTTGAGTATCTTCTAATATGGATTTACCATGAATAACTATGGATTTATCATTCTCACTGTATATAGTGTAAATAAAGTCATCATTTGAAGTTGCCACTATTGCTTGTATTCCTGTGTGAAAACTAACCCACAACAACAAAGAATTCATGTTGTTACATATGGTGTCAGAAGTGGGGGCAACAACAGTTGCTACATTGTGAGCGTCTACTACTACTGTTACATTGTCAGAAGCAATTGAAGAAGTGTTGCTACATTATTATCAGACGTGTTGATACATTGGAGTCAGGTGATTGAAGAAGCTGATACATTATTGTCAGAGATGGTCAACATTTGTTACTTTGTTGGCTGAAGTGGACGTATACTCAAGTTGTTACACTGATGTTGTTACATTGATGGATTAGATTGAAGTCAGAAATCTTCAACGAAGTTACAGTGTTACCACAAGTGATCAAAGAATTGTCACATTATTATTGTAAGCAGTTTTCAACGTTTCTGAAGTGGTCTTCCACTGTTTGCCAGTGAACAACGCTGGTATATCAAGCAAGTACATGAAATTATTAATAGTTATCTACAGTCAAGTCATCAACGTGATAATTATTATCACATTATTTCGACATTGTCTTACCAATGTCGGATTATTATCGTCTGTAACAGATTACTGTTACACCTACAAATGTGTGTTTTTTTTCTATTTGGATTTAGCTGTTCAAGTTTTTTCTATATGGATTAGCTGTTCAAGTTCTTCTACTGTGGATGAGCAGATCTAGTTTATTAATTGTAAACTGTTCCTAAAGATGTCTTATCTAAAACTGGACAAATTTCTACTCTGTAACATGCTACTAGAACTATTTTGAATTTTTTCAACTTTTTGGAATCAACAAAGTGAACTATTTTGGACGTATATATGTACTATGAACTTTTCTTGGATTACCAGATGTCTGTAACCAACTAAAACAAGCCAGAAACCAAGAAAGGGTATAATAAATTAATTAACATTTACCTATTGTTAACTAATGAATTTATATTTTATGTCATAGAAAATATATCAAAATGTCAAATTTTGAAAAATATGCAGCACTTGTGAAGGAACTTGACATTCCGAAGGAAGACAGGTTGGCATTTATAAAAGAACTACTAACGAAAGATGAAGAGAAAGCTGCTAAAGAGAAAGCTGAGAGAAAAGAAGAAGAGAAGGCTAGAGAAGAAAAAGCTGCTAAGGCGAAAGCTGAAGAAAAAGAAGAAGAGAAGGCTAGGAAGGAAGAAGAGAGGGCTAGGAGGTTAGAGGAAAGGAATTGGAAAATAGAAGACGATGAAAGAAAGATTGCAGCAAAAAGAGAAGAAGATGACAGAAAGCACAAGCATGAAACAGAACTGAGAAGAATAAATAGTAATATGGCCGCAACTGAACAGGCGGGTGAGCACTCAACCAGATTCCAGCTGAAATTCAGTGACTTAAGAGAAGGAGAAGAAATATTAAACTACCTCACACAATTTGAGTGCATTGCCACAACTAACAACTACAGTAGAAGCATGTGGGCAAGTACTTTGCTGAGCAGGCTCACGGGTGAATGTTTAAACATAATTGGCACGCTTACTGATATTCAAAAAATGGACTATGACCATATTAAAAAGAAACTACTCACTTGTTATGGGAAGTCAGAGGACGAATATAGAAAAGCCTTTGTGGCGATGAAACTGGAGAGCCACCTGGACACAACGGCCACTTTATTTAAAATGAAGGAAAACTTGCTAAAATACTTTGAACTAGCGGAGATAGACACAAATGATCCAAAGGCTCTGTTAGATCAGTTTCTAATCCTCAAAATTTATGATGAAGCGGGCAAGGGCTTATTCAGCTTTCTAAAAGAAAGGAAAATAAAAACGGAAGATCAGCTTAGAATAGCGGTGGCAACGTTCAGGGATTCACACCCCCATGAGCAGTTGTCGGCAGAGGAAACCGTACTGGCACAGACAGTAGCGGGCAGATACAAACAGCTACCGAGAACACAATCGCCGACAAGAAAAAGGCGTAACAGCCTGCCTAACATTGGAAAGAGTAGACCAATAAGGATAACATGTTATCACTGTGGTAAAGAAGGTCACATGCGAGCTGAATGCTGGAGGCTGAACAATATGAATGACAGACAGCGACAAGGTCCTAGTAGCAGTGGGAGGTATAAGAGCTGGGGATACCAGCACAATAGAAACAGCGGTGACTATACTAACCGTAGGGAATATTCACCACCGAGTCCAAGCAGATACTATAGTGGTACCAACAGAAACCCGCAAGACTACAGGAATAAATCTTTCAACCAAGGAAGTAGGCTGTCATTTAATAATATTGAAAGGCAGAAAAATAATAACGGTGATACGGAAGCGAAACAAATAGTAGCTACTGCCCGTGATGCTAATGGAAGATTATTTTATTTCCCAGCGGTATTGAATGGGAAAAACACAATTTGCCTAAGGGATACAGGCTGTACAACATTGATTGTTGACAAAGCAATGGTAAAAGAATCAGATTACACCGGAGAAGTACAAGAGGTCAGGTTAGCTAATAGGATGTCTATCCATTGTGATTTGGCGAAGATTGAAATAGACTGCCCATGGGTTACGGGTTCATTCACAGCAGTTGTGATGGAGAACCCTATTTGTCCTCTAATAATTGGCAACATCCCGGGTATTCCGGATGACTCAATGAAATTTTTAGAAGCATGGCAAGCCAAGAAAGGTAAGATGGTTGTAAGCGCCATTATACAGGATGATAACGCAGAGAAGCTAAAACCTATAGTACAAACGCACTTAACAGCGCCTGAGATGGCAAGGCTACAAAAAGAGGATGAAGTCACAAAAAAACTGATGAATAACATCAATAAACAACAAGGAAAGTACAGAGGCCACTGCTATGAAATAAAAAATGATATACTGGTTAGAATATTTCAGAATAACAGCATTAAAAGGACACAAATAGTCATTCCAGAGAAACTGAAAGGTCTAGTCTTGGAGACAGCACATGATAGTCCTTTGGCGGGGCACATGGGAGTCAGGAAAACTATGAATAGAATCCTTGACAACTCGTTCTGGCCGGGAATCCATCAGGATGTGAAAAGATACATTGGTAAATGCAAGCAATGTATAACTAAAAATCATCTACACAGCAAACATATTGCTCCTATACAGCCAACTGATAAAATAGGAAAGGTGTTTGAGAAAGTGTCTATAGACATAGTAGGACCTCTACCAATTGCATCAAAAAAAGGTCACATATTTATTCTAACTCTAATAGACATGGCGTCAGATGGCCAGAAGCTATACCCCTAAGGGATATAAAATCCGAAACTATATGTTCTGCATTATTAGACATTTTTTCAAGATATGGTTTTCCTGATACTCTGCTGTCAGACAACGGCAAACAATTTACCTCTAATGTGACTAATGCATTAACAAAGCTGCTGAAGATCACTCAGGTACACTCGACCATCTACAGACCGCAAGCAAACGGTATGTGTGAACGGTGGAATAAGACTCTCAAAGTAATGTTAGCAAAAGCTTCAGAAGATCATCCTAAGGAGTGGAATGAGTATATTCCGGCGATACTGTTCGCCTATAGAGGAACAGTGCATGACGCGACGGGGTACTCGCCATTTGAATTAATGTTTGGATCAAATCCAAGAGGGCCGCTGTCGTTGCTAAATGATAGATTACTTGGCACTCAAATCACTGAACAAGATACTTTTGAGTTCATTACTGAAAAGAAAAGCAAAATGGTATATGGATTACAATCTGCTCAACAAAATGCGGAGGGAGAGGCAAGTAGACAGAGAAAATTGAAAAACAAAAATAGATACCTCAGGCAATTGAAGGAGACAGACAATGTCTATGTTTGGCTACCTACCTGGAAAGGGGTCAAATTATGGCAGGGACCATTTGTGATTAAAAAGAAAGTGAACGAAGTAGATTATGCTGTGGACATCAAAGGCACAATAAAGATAGTACATGTTGATCTACTGAGGAAATACGATAACATGCCTGATCAGATAACTCAAGTGATGGAGGACATTAATACACATGACACTGACATAAATGAGGAAGTTGGTCGTGATGAAGAACTGCCAAAACGTCAAATAGAAGAACAATCTAGCGTAGTAATTATAGAGGAACAACCTACCTTAGCGAACATAATTCAAACAGAAGAAGAAATCCAGCAAATTACTCCGCTGAAGTACAGAAAAGAACTACAGCAGTTATTGAACGAATTCAAAGATGTCATTACTGAAGATACTGGCTACACAAAAACAATTACTCATGTCGTAGAATTAAACAAGGATGCTAATTTCAAAAAGAAACAATATGCAGTACCTTATGCATACAGAGAAGCAGTGAAGAAAGAATTAAATCATTTGATCGAAACTAACAAAATACAACGCTCAAATTCATCTGTAGCTTCACCAATGGTGATAGTAAAAAAGAAGAATGGAAAAGTAAGAATTTGCTGTGACTATAGAGATTTGAATAAAATCACGAAAATAGACGCAGAACCACTGAGAGATACAAATGAACTATTGGAAGAGATAGGGAACTCAACAATTTTCACTCATCTGGACTTAAACCGAGGTTTTTGGCAAATAGGTATGGATGAGGAATCCAAACAATACACAGCGTTTACAACTGATGAAGGATTATTTGAGTGGAATGTCATGCCTTTTGGCCTAGTAAATTCAACAGCAACGTTCTCCAGATTTATGAGAATAATGCTGGCAGATATAAAGAATGTAGTACATTTTGTAGATGACATATGTATTCATTCTAAGGATATCAAGACACATATGCAGTCAGTTAGAGAGGTACTAACAAAATTAAGGGAGCATGGCGCGACTATTGCACCTGAAAAGTTAAAATTTGCAAATGAAGAAATGGATTTTTTGGGATTCAAAGTAGGCAAAAATCAAATTAGACCTACTGACGGAAATAAAAATAAAATTCTCAACTTAGAAATACCTAAAACCAAGAAAGAAGTCAAAGGTGTATTGGGTCTATTTAATTTCTACAGCAAATTCATACCCAAGTACTCAGATATAACTCTACCTCTAAGACAGCTAATTACCAAGGACAGCAGTAGAACAATAAATTGGTCTAAAGAATGTCAGGATGCTTTACAGCTAATAAAGCAGTACTTTGAACATGAAGTAACGCTTACTGCCCCTAACTTTGAGAAGACACTAACACTGGTGACGGATGCTTCAAATTATGGATTGGGTGCATGTTTAATGCAAGAAGTGGACAAGGTACTACGGCCTATATTTTATCTGAGTAGGGCACTAAACAAAACGGAACAAAACTACTCAACTGTGGAGAAAGAATGTCTGGCCATTGTATGGTCCATGACCAAACTGCAGAAATATTTATTAGGAAGAAAATTCATTCTCCTCACCGATCACAAGCCATTGTTAGCTATGAACAACAAACGGATAGCCAACAGCAAGATAAACAGATGGTTATTGATTCTGCTGGATTTTCAGTATGAAATTAGGTCTATAAAAGGGAAGGATAATGTAGTAGCAGATTTTTTGTCTCGGCAAAATGTTGACAGTACAGAAACTGAGCCTACCCTAAACCACATTAGTCAACATTTATAATAAAAAAAAATAATAAATAAAGGGATACTAATACATTATCAATTTACAGTTTATTAATATTATACAGTCTGTAACTGTAAAATATGGATATCAAACAATTTGTATCAGTAATATAAATTGTGTACTATTTCAATAGATTGTAAACTGTATTATGTTAAACCTATTCTATACTATTAATTAACAGGGAATAATGTATAAAGTAAAAGCTAGAGACTATTTATTCCGCATAACAATAAGACGGAAGTCTCAATGATGAATTGAATTGTGTATTAGTCATACCTGTGAAAGGCAGGAATGTGGTTGTGTTGTGACCTAGATATGACTGAAATGGGTCAAATAGGGGAGACAACAAAGTATATTACTCATGCGTGGTAATAACATACCTTGATGATAAGGAAGTTTTTTTTTACTACATAGGATATAGTTATTTAAATTAGGAGTTGAATTAAGTCTTTGATAATTTCAACTATGTATTATGTTTTGGTAATTAAGTCATGTACCAGACTGGTTTGGTAATTTATTACACTCATTTGTCTTGTTTATACTACAGTTACTGGGTAATTGAAATGTTTTTTTTTCTCCTATGTGAATGTATATTGATGCATTAAATATTACATATAATGCTTGTACATTTATAAGTTTTTGTTCAAAACATTGACATATTTTAATTATCACTGATATAGTCACTACATACTGTTGTATTTGTATGCACTATAAATTTATGACTACAAGTGCTTAGTCTAAAATGAATATATTTTACTCTACTTTGAGTTGTACACAATTTTTTGTTGTCTGGCACATGATCCTGCCCTACCAATACTGTATTTATAAATTTTGTTGTCTGGCACATGATCCTGCCCTACTAATATTGTATTTATAAATTTTGTTACACAAAATTTTATTCGAAGGGGGGACGTGTCACAGACTGTATTATTATGTATCTTTATTATATTGTGTTTTGCATGAATGAAGAGTACCTGGCTAGCGGAAGGACTGTCTGAGCGATCGTCATGTGTTTTTCCGTGTTTTGGGTGAGATCGCTCATTGACGTAAGGGGAGAGAAAGTTGTGAATAAAAGGGAGAGCAAAAAGGTGAACGGGTGTTGTGTGCTAGGACTTGGGACTTGAACTGTGGCAGTGAATGTAAGATGTCTCCATGACTTGGAGTCGTGACTGTGACTGTACTTGTTGAGTATCTTCTAATATGGATTTACCATTAATAACTATGGATTTATCATTCTCACTGTATATAGTGTAAATAGTTGCCACTATTGCTTGTATTCCTGTGTGAAAACTAACCCACAACAACAAAGAATTCATGTTGTTACAAGGCTAATAGCTATAAGAATATGCCAGTCAAGTCAAATTAATGGACGGTAAAACATACAAAAATGCCTTCTGATTAAAATAACCTTTAATATTGAAAATATTTTTTTTTTTAAAGTGCACTTCGGTAGTTGAAAGCATGGAACCACTGCCACAGGCTGGCCACATCACAGTTGTGGGGCTGGGCCTTGTGTCCATGCAGCTGTCAACTGTTTGTATATGCTCTACTCCACCTATTCTTAGTGTATTTATTTTGTTTAAAGTTGTTTTCAAGAATAATATTTTTATGAGTTATGAAAAAAAAATAATATCATTATTATGGAACTGGCGAGCCGCATCCTGACATCGAAAGAGCCGCATGATGCCGACTCCTGGTCTAGGCAGTGGCGTCGCCATGTCGGGTGTACCCCCTCCTTACAACACACACACACACACATATATATATATATATATATATATATATATATATATATATATATATATATATATATATATATATATATTGTTACGACCCCTTCTCTAATCCTTTCGAACTAGTCAGGGAATCGTAAACAAAAACAAGAAAATAAGACTAAGGAACACCTTTCGAAAATAGCTAAAGTTTAATTCTCACAACAGAGGTACACCATTTAAGAATAACCACCACCTAGAAACAATAGATGAAAATCCTAACACCTAGTCTAATCTATGCTATGTATAACTACACGTCCTCCCTGGTGAGCTGCTATGACTGTCCCTAACCCTCCTAGTCCTCACTTCTTTGACTTCACCATCCGGTCTAAACTAATCTGCATGTCGCCAACAGTTCTGGAGTACCTGATTAAAACGTCAGACCCTGCTAATAAACCACCCCCATTACGGTCACCCAGGCCAACTAGATACGTGTCTGCTACACCTACCCCCCATTGATGCCGTCGTCCGTAATTACAATCTAATTGTAACACGTGCTCCGCTAATCGTCTTCGTCAAGACCTGTTTAGCCTGGATCATGTCTCTCGTCAACCCTACCCCTGCAATCTACGTCCCCACAGTCGTGACTATATATATATATATATATATATATATATATATATATATATATATATATATATATATATATATATATATATATATATTAGTCATCGAGACCCATTACACGTGAATTATAGGCCTATACTTTTGTAATGCTATACTTGTTTGAGAAAAATATGTTATACCTAACGCACAGTTCTGAAAGTGAATGAAAGTATTTCAGTTCTGGTTTTACATTTTATCCGAGGTTAGGGCACAGTTACTCTAATTAAAACATTTATAAAAAATATTTAAGAAAACAATTTTGTATCCGTCAACTACTTTACTTTGTGCATCAAATGTTCGCTACAAGGAATTAAGACTGAGCTGTAGTTTAGACAAGGAAGTGCCTGTATTCAAACGCCTCAAAAAAAACAGCCTTAAACTAGCAATGTTATTTTATTCACGAAAGATGTAAAAGTTTGATTTAACGCATAGCTATATATTTGACTATCAAATAGAAACAAAGAAAAAACTTTTCCAACTCTAGCCTTTATATTCATAGACACATTTGTATATGGAAAATGTAGGCTTATATCTTGCTCATTTAAATTTCAGATGAATTATATCCGAATCAAGAAAATGTATTTAATTAATTCGCCTACGCTAATTTCCATTTATAAATTTAAATCAACAAAGAAGGGTAACCTACAAATTTGATTTAAAAAATGGCAAATTGTACAAAGAAATTCATAAATATTTTTTTTTAATACAAAACATTGTTTACAGTGTAAATTTAAACTAGAATATTTTTATAATCTTATAAAAATGATCGCTTAGCCTTTGATTTGTAATTTTAAATTATATTCAGGCTCAAGTTTTAATTGCAAACAGCTAGCTGAATTAAAGAATTGACTTGTAAAAATAATGAGAAAGTTCATTATTAATAATTTCCTATGTTTACTGTTTGAGGACTCAACACACTGTGTAGTTTTAATTTTTTATAAAAGAAATAATTGTAAATAGTAAATACTCTAGGTCAGGGGTCGGTAACCTTTTGAAGCGGAAGAGCCAAAAGTTACAATGTTCAAAATTTCCCTGGTTTTAAACAGCCACTAACATTTTTTTATTTCAAATGTTTTATTTTTTTTATTAAGCTTATTAGTATTTGTGCAAGGAGCTGGAGAGCCGCATCTTGATATGAAAAGAGCCGCATGCGGCTCGCGAGCCGCAGGTTTCCGACCCCTGCTCTAGGTCCTAGACAGTGGCGTCGTCAGGACGGGTGTACCCCCCTCCGAACAATACATATATATATATATATATATATATATATATATATATATATATATATATATATATATATATATATGTATATATATATATATATATATACTAGCTATCGGCAAGCGTTACTAGTTAATTATAGGCTTATAGTTTTGTAATTTTTGTATTGCTATACTTGTTTGAGAAAAATATTTTTTTAAATAGTTATCGGTCAAAACGCAATGTACTTTACTACACGTTGAACGATATTAGTGAAAATGCAAAGAAATAACTAAATAGTAAAATATCCACACACATTTAGTATAACATAGGCTGCCAATACCAATTAGAAAAATTAGAAATAAATCTAGAACACTCAAATTAAGAACGAAGAAGAAGAAGAAAATACAAAAATTAAAATTAAATAATTGGCATTTTATCTTAAATTAATGAAGCAAACTTACAATATCTAATTTACAGTTATTGTTTTACTTGTGTCACTCCCCCCTCCCACCACACGCTACCTCTACGCTGGGGGCATTTGCGTAATGACATGTTCGATGAGCAATTTAGAATTGATATTTTAATTAGCCGCCACGCTCCACCATCAACGGATTTGTTGATTTGCAATTTTTTTCAATGTGATGTCAGGACCAACCGCTTTGGTGGGTGGTGTATTTTGTTCTGACCATTACATTCTTCTGTAAAAGTTGCATTTGGTGTCGACCTCCCCCCCCCCCCCACCTTTCCAATTTAACAAGTGGCATCATTTTCTGCCAAAAAAATATATTACTCCTCTTATTATTTAAAGTGAAAAAAAAAACAGTTTTTATAGTAACTTATTAAATGTGGTGTCACATGTTATGTTATAAAAAGGATCGCTTACCCTTTGTTTTGTAATTTTAAATTATTATCAGGCTTAAGTTTTAATTGCAAACAGCTAGCTGAGTTAAAGAATTGACGTGTTGATATGATAAGAAAGTTCAGTTAAATCAATTGTTTATTTATGAAGACACTTGACACAACACTCCGAGTAGCTCTGATGTTTTAATTTATTTATAAAAGAATGTAATTGAAAATAGTACATACTCTTGGTCTATGCCAGGGGTCGGCAACCTTTTCAGGTGTAAGAGCCTAAAGTTTCAATTTACGAAATTTCCCCTGTTTTTAAAGAGCCATTAATAATTGTTCTTCCATATTAAGGTATTTGATTAGAATTAGCAAAATAATTATTTGTTTATGGGTTTAAGTATGAAAATATATGTATTCATATAAAAACATACACATGTTTCGCACAAAATATAATAAAATATTTCAACTAGTATATATATAATTCTCTTCTGGGAGACTGTAGAAAACAAGCTGTAAGCGCTCCCTCCCACCCCCCCCCCCCCTACATGGTCTGGTGAGCTGTGGTTCACG